GGTCAGTGAGGGTGCAGGTGAAGACCAGGCCTGGCCAGGTTGGGAGGGCAAGGCCAAGGCTGGGGGCAAGAGGCCAGACCCCAGAGGGGTGAGGCCAAGGGCTCAGGGCCCAGGGCAGGAGGCTGGGAGAGCCCAGGCGTGGGTCCAGCCTTGCCTCATTTACTATCCTTCCTCCCTCCCCAGTGACCCAGACTACAGACCCATCACGGCAGCTGGAGGGTGGGAACCTCGCTTTGGCCATTCTGTTGCCCCTAGGCTTGGTTATTGTCCTTGGCAGTGGCGTTTACATATACTACACTAAGTAAGTACCCTACTCTTGAATGCTGGCCAGGACAGGTGTCATACCTGGTGTGGGAATCAGCTAAGGGGATTCAAGGACTCACACATGGTAAGCCCTCCATCCCCTCCCTTTCCCAGGCTGCAAGGAAAATCACTCTTTGGCTTCTCTGGTTCCCACTCCTACAGTCCCATTACCGTGGAGTCAGACTTCAGCAACCCACTGTATGAAGCTGGGGTGAGTCCCTCCCCTCCCCTTGGGAATGCTGCATCTCCCAGTCTCCCCACAGGACTTTATAATCTTCTCCCAAAGTATCCGAGGTCTCTTTTGAGAATTTCAAACTCAGTTGCCTGCAAGTCATGACGATGGTCAAAGCAAGCTGGGTGTGGACAAGTCATGGTAAGGACTGTAGGTAACTGGAGAAGCAGGGCCCATCTAAAGGATACAGCTCAAACCCAAAGTGGACACTTAGGCTCAAACTCCAAATCTTCCAGTTGTTCAAGACATTTCAGAAATATAACCCAGGAAATATACACTCTCTCTTGAGACAGGATCTCACTATATAACCCTGGCTGGCCTGGAACTTCCAGAGATCTGCTTGCCTCTGTGCCTTAAATGCTGGGATTAAAATGTGGACTACCACACCTGACTGGGAATCCTTACTAAAAAAAAACATTTTCTAGGGCTGGAGAGATGGCTCAGTGGTTAAGAGCACTAGCTGCTCTTCCAGAGGTCCTGAGTTCAATTCCCAGCAACCACATGGTAGCTCACAACCATCTACAAAGAGATCTGATGCATTCTTCTGGACCAAAGGCATACATATAGGCAGAACACTATATACATAATAAATATTAAAAATTTTTTCTAAAAATTTAAAAATTGTAGGTGGGTAGTGGTGGTATACACCTTTAATATTATCAGCACTTAGGAGGACAAGGAAGGTGGATCTATGTGAGTAGCTCAGCCTGGCAGAGCTACACAGAGAAACCCTGTCTCAAAAAACAAAAACAAAACCAAACAAAACCGAAATTAAAATTGCTTGCCTGCATATCAGTATACCAAGTACATGAAGTGCCCTCAGAGGTTGGAGAGCGCATAAGATCCCCTGGAACAAGGTGTTAGACAGTTGTAATCCACCATGTGAGTGCTATGAATCCAACCTAGGATCTCTGGAAGGGAAGCCAGTGCTCTTAACTGCTGAGCCATCTCTCTAGCCCCTCTATATATTAATTTAAATATCTTGCTGGGCATGGTGGCTCAACTATTTTAATCGAGAGGCAGAGGCAGGCAGATCTCTAAGTCTGAGGCCAACCTGGTGGTCTACCTAGGGAGTTCCAGGACAGCCAGGGCAATGTGACAAGGCCCTGTCTCAAAATAACATGGTCTTTTGAGTGAGTGTGTGTGGCACTGGAGATTAAACAGTGCCTTATACATAGTTGGCAAGCTCAAGACATTGGATGGTATCTCTAGTGTCTCACCCTTTTTTATTCTGACATGGATCTTTCTATGTAGACCAGGCTGGCCTCAAAACCCCCTCCCCACAGCCACATCTGCCTCTACCTCCAAGCGCCGAGATTAAAGATTAAAGGTGTACATCATCATCCACAGTCCTCTCTGATTGTGAGAAAGGACTTCCATTGCCCAGTCTGAGCTTGAACTACTTCTGTAGCTCAGACCCACCTTGAATTGTGATCTTGCTTCCATCTCCTTAGTAGCTAGAATCACAGGCTAACACCACCAGACTCAGCTCAAATTTATGTCATCCTCCTCCTTGTGGATGCCTCTTCATCTCCAACTCACTCCGATTTATTTGCTCTTTCTGTCTTCAGGATACACGCGAGTACGAAGTTTCCATCTGAACCCCAAGTCTGAGTCTGCAGGACCCAGGACCTCCCCATTCTTTCCTCATTCTGGGAAGTGAGGAGCATCGGACCTAGTCTCTGGCTCCCCTCCCCGCCTGCTGTGTAAATAGTCTTCCCATCCCATGAGGGGGCTTTGGCCCTGGAGACCCTACAGTAAATAAACCAGCATCCTGCCACCCAAAGCTGCCTCTTCTTAGTTGCCAAACAAGGGGCCTTCCACCACCACCCCCACCCTACTAACTCTGGACCCAGGGAAGGGAACTCAGTCCCTTGCAACTCCTGGGGCCCCTCCAGCCCAGGGCCCCACTCAAGAACTGTTCCCCAGCTCTACTATCCCCATGGCCATGAAGACTCCCTACCCCCAGATGCCCGACAGTGGTTGGGGCTTTGAGAGTAAGAAGAGAAGGATAAAGGGAGAGGTGGGCTGAGTCCCATCCCTTCCTTGTGTCTCCCTACCCACACTCTCTCCACCTTTATTTGCTTCTGAGTTCTTGTTTTTGAGCAATAAACAGAAAGTCACCACTTGTAACTGACCTGGTGAGTCTGAAAAAGTGTGCCTCAAGGTGTTGGGGCAATGGTAGAGAGGCCTCTGGAGTGGGTTTGGGGAAATAGACATTCTTTGGAGGAAAATGAAAATCCAAAACTGGGCAGTGTCCCAGGAGCTGGCCTGGAGTCCAAAAGCCTGGTGAGCACCATTAGACCCAGCTCTTGGGAGGCAGAGGCAGGCAGAATTTGAGCCCAGCAAGTTCCAAGCCAGCAAGGACTACATACATAGTGAGACTCTGTCTCAAAACAAGCCTGGCTTGAGGCTGAGCCCCTGTAGAGGGCTGGCTGGGACATCTGGCCACTAGTTCTTGCTAGATTCCTTCAGCTAGAAGCCACACAACCCACAGCCTTTCACAGATCCAGGGAGCAGTGAGCCTTCCATTCCATTTCCCCTTTTGAAAATATTTGTATACATTTATGTATTCTTTCTCCTGATCTTTTGTGGTATATTGCCTCTATTATTGTTTTTAGATGGTCTTACTATAGCCCAGACTGGTCTTTTTTTTTGAACAGGGTCTCACTATGTAACTCTGGCTGGCCTAGAACTTACTCTACAGACCAGGGTGGCCTCAAACTTAGAGATCTGCCTTCTTCTGCCTCCCAAGTGTTGAGATTAAAGGTGCAGGATACCATAACTAGCTTCCTGGCATGTTAAACATACCTGCTATTACACATATACTAAGAATGCCCCCTTTTCCCTATAATGTTTGATATACATTATAAGTAGATTGGAGCCTCCGTTTAGTGGTGAATTGAACCCAGGATGTCATGTATAAGTAGGTCATGTGAGTAATACCCCCAGCCCAATGTCTACCTTATTTGTCTATTGTTTTTCCAAATTAACTGAAATTGTGTATTCAAACTGAACATCTGGAGGATGTTTAAGATGGTAAAGTACTCAAAGGGGGACTGCTGGGCAAATTGGCCTTGATTAAAGCTTAAGGAAATGTCACCATAGTTACCATGTAGTCCAGGCTGGTCTTGAACCCCAGACCCTCTATCAGTAGCCTGCTAAGTAGGTAAGATTCTATATGAATTGTGGTTGGTTTCTTCATCTTTTGTTTTTGAGACAGGACATTGCTGGCTTGATACTATGAGCTGGAGGCAATCTTCCTGCCTCTGCCGACTGCATGCTGGAATTATAGGCATTGCTGCCATACCAATCTTGTATTGTTTTTTTGTTTGTTTGTTTGTTTTTGTTTTGTTTTTATCCTTGTAAGGGCCTTATAAAACTGGGGTAATTTATTACAGTTTTGTTGTTGTTGTTTAGGTTTTTTTTTTTTTTTTTTTGAGACAGGGTCTCACTAGATAGCCTTAGCTGTCCTAGACTCACTGTGTAGATCAGGTTGGCTCCAAACTCAGAGATCCACCTGCCTCTGCCTCCTGAGTGCTGGGATTAAAGGTGTGCACCACCACCACCACCACAAGGCTACTCAGTTTCAATTAAGGAAACTAAGGTTAAGAGAAGTGAATGAACTTTCTCAGAGGGCCAAATGTGTGGCCAAACTGGGCCTGAAACACAAACTCCTCAGAGCTTTCTGCCTCATCTTCTGTCTGGTAACAAGTTAGCATGTTCTCATAAACATGAGACCCCAAAAGCTCAGAGCCCAAGGTGACAGTGGAGGCAGCATGAATGGGCCCCTGCACAGTGCAGCTAGCACAAGATGCTAGAGACTGGGTTTGGGTCCAGCATGTATCTGACAATTGGATTCCAGGAATACACTGACATGCACTATGCCCTCTGAAAGAAAGGCATGTCCCCTCCAGAAGCCACTCCAGTCCACTCCCGATGTTTGGGGGAAGGGAGGATCCCTGGCTCTTTATTATAACCTTTTCTCCTCAGTAGTGTGATTGCCCATGGAAGGTGGAGAGTCCTGCAACAGGTCCAAAGACTTTGTTGGTTTCAAAGGTGGCATTGCAGATGACCAGGAGTTCCTCCCAAGATGAGGTGTTTAGCCAGTTGCAAAAGAGGGGCTTTGAGGCTTTCACTGAGGGGCAAAGTGGGGAGGGTAAGAGGCCAAGAGAGCAGCAGTAGGGAGGGCAGGGCTCATCCTCCAGTTGTCAGGCTGTTGGGGAGTACTCCCTAGAAAACAGAGAGAACTGCTGACTCTTTCCTCTTAAGGAGCCTGTCTTATCCTTCCTTCACCCAACCATCCAAGCCATGTACCATCCTTGCATATAGCCACCATGCTCCACTTCTTTCATAATCCATCTCTCCAAGCACACATCAACATCCTCATTCCATCTATTCATTTACAAACCTACCCCTTCCCCATCCTTCAGCTCCATCCACCTGTTCACCCATTCATTACTCACCTATCTTCCCACCACTCATCCTTCATCTTCCTCTTCTGGAGAGCAGGGCTTTATTTTGCTCGGTGCTGTACTCCAGGACAGTGCTGTTGGCCATACAGCAAGTGCTCAGCACATGCTCAGTCAACATATCCATTATCCCATTTACCCATGTGTCAACTCATCCATCCACTCCCCATCTAACATTTGTCTACTTTTTTTTTTTTTTGAGACAGGATTACTCTGTATTGTTTTGCAGCCTGTCCTGGAACTAGCTCTGTAGACCAAGCTGGTCTTGAACTCACAGAGAGCCTCCTGCCTTGCCTCCTGAGTGCTGAGTGCTGGGATTAAAAGCATTCGCCACCAATGCCCAACTCTTTTGTCTGCTTTTTAATTTTACATTTTTAAAAAGATTTATTATGTATACAGTGTTCTGTCTGCATGCCAGAAGAGGGCACCAGACCTCATTACAGATGGTTGTGAGCCACCATGTGGTTGTTTGGAATTGAAATTGGGTCCTCTAGGAGAGCAGTAAGTGACCTTAACCTCTGAGCTACCTTTCCAGCCCTTAATTTAAAAATTTATTATTTATCTATTTATCTTTTGGGACAGGGTCTATGTAGCCCTGGCTGACCTGGAACTCACTGTGTAGACCAGGCTGGCTTGGAACTCACAGAGATCCACCTTCCTCTACCTTCTGAATGTTGGAATTAAAGACATATATCATACCAGGCTTTACATTTTTTAAAATTTTATTTTATGTGCATGGGTGTTTTGCCTACATGCAGGTCTGTGTTTCACTTGTGTGCCTGGTGCCCGTGGAGACCAGAAGAGGGAGTCAGATCTTCTAGAGCTGGAGTTACAGACAGTAGAGAGCCATGACATGGGTGCTGGGAATCAAACCTGGGTCCTCTGGGAAATCAACAAGTATTCTTACCTGTTTAATAATATCTCTCCAGCCTCTTTATTTTTGTTTTTGTTTTTTTTTTTAATTTTTAAATTTTGTTTCCCCATATATATAATTTCTATACAGATTATATATTATATATGTATATTTTCTAAATTCCTAAATTTTTTATTTGAGACTTTGCCTTTCTGTGTAGCCTTGGCTGTCCTGGAACTCACTAGGTAGACCAAGTTGGCCTTGAACTCACAGGACTTAACCTTCTGCCTCCAGAGTGCTGAAATTGAAGTATAAGCCCACAAGCAAGCCTGGCAGGCCCTAGAGCATACAAGCTGCTCACAACCTCACTAAGATACCTCTCTGTACCTTGGGTTATACAATCCTTACTGCTGCTTAGACTGCTTATATCAGAGCTGTTTTCCTTTTTTTTTTTTTTTTTTTTTTTTTTTTTTTTTTGGTTTTTAGAGACAGGGTTTCTCCATATAACAGTCCTGGCCATCCTGGAACTCTCTTTGTAGACCAGGCTGGCCTCAAACTCACTGAGATCAACCTGCCTCTGCCTCCCAAGTGCTGGGATTAAAGGCATGAGCCACCACTGCCTGGCGAAAATTCTTTCTTTAGGTGTTACCTTCTTCAAGAAGTCCCATGACATTTTTCCTTCCTAGCCCAGTTGAGGACGAGGCAAAATAGTCTTCCTGTTTTCTCTTCTTAGGTAGCACCATTCTATATTATGTTGTCATCGACCATTAACTTGACCTGGCCTAATTCTAAACAGAATTCTGCTGGGAATGGTGGAGCATGCCTTTAATCCTAGCACTGAGGAGGCAGAGGCAGGATCGTTGTGAGTTCAAGACCAGCCTGGTCTACATAGCAAATGTCAGGTCAACTAAGCTACATAGTGAGACCCTATCACAAACAAACAAACAAACCCCTGAATTTTTCAAGGGCTGAGTCTATATCGTGCATTCTGTGTGTCCCAAACTGCTAACACAGAGAGTGACACATAGTGGAAACTGGAAAGTTGAAACTGAATGACTGTATACACACCTTTTCACGAGGAGATGGCAGAAGGTGTGCCTTGGTGCGGGTGCGATTTCTGTCAGAGCTGGGGAATGCAGAAGAAAAGAGAGAAGGCTGAGCATTGTAAACTGCAGGATCAGGAATGATCAGAATAGAATTGCATGGTTCAAAACTCCCCATACCCTGCTGGGATGTTATAAACCCTTGCTGTCCCTTGACAGGCTCCGCACCCTTCTCCCAGGACAGAGACCCACTCACCGTGTGTCTGTACCACGGGATTTAGTGAAGAACACTGCAAACAGAGGCTCCAGTTAGAGAAGTGGCTTTCCCCATGGTTAGAAAGAGCTGTGGCTAGACTGGATGGGGGCAAGGGGCTCCTGACTAGCAACAAGGAGTGGGTTACAGGGTAAGGGACATTGTGCCAAGGACTAGCACTGAGGAGGCAGAAATGGGCAGATTCCTGGGGAGGTCAGCTACAGCTGGAAGGGAGTCAGGAACCGGTCCCTGGATGAAGAGGGAAAATTCACCATGTCTAGATATCTGAGTCCCTTGGTCTTTTGTCTGCTTTTCTTTGATGGGCACAGGGTTCATGTGGGAGCGAGCAATAAACAGTGCTTCATCAGCAAGTTCTGCGCTGATCTGGGTCAGGAATTCTTCAGAACGGGATAATGAGACTTTCTGGAAAGGAAGTTAGAACTCAGCCCACAAATTCCCACTGGTCTGGTGTCTTCCAGGCTGCAGACTCTATGGCTAGAGAATCTGATATTAGAAGGTTGAGCTGTCTGATTTGGCTAGAAGGCCCTAGACCCAGAATGCAGTCTGTGAGACTTGAGGATTAAGGATAAAGGCACATGGCTTAGAACCAGACTACCTGCCTACCTTCCCTTCTCCTCCTTCACATTCCCACTGTTGTTCACCTGCCCTCCACCTAAGGAGGCTGAAGCTTGAGATGGCCAGCTGTCCTTTTTATCTCCATTCCTGGCAGATGTGGATGCCATCCCCCTGGAAACAAAGTTTGTGTTAAGACTGAGAAACTTGCCCTCTCCCCCTACCCCCACCCCATCTCCCTGGGCCCAGATTTAGTCGACGCCTATAGCTCAAACACCCTACTGTTTCAGTCCTATCATTGAAAGTTTTTTGTTTTGCATATAACTTTGAGGGGAAGGGCTCTCAGAATAACTTCTTCTCCCATTCCCTCCAAAACCCTTCTTCCTTCTTCTCTGCCAAGGCTCTTCCTAAGGCAGGCAGCCAACATGCAGCCCCCGACCTGGCTGATGGGTTGAAATCTTGGGCTACTCGGCGGGAGGGGAGACGGAGAGGTCTAAGGGGACCCTATGATGGGCTTCAGGGGATAGGGAGTTGGAATTGGGGAGGAAGGTTGGAAAGAGGGAGAGCCAGGGAAGCGCTGCTCCGGGTTGCTATAAAGACCTAAATGTTTGCGGAGATTCTATAGTTCCGTTGCTAGGATACTGGAGGTTCTAGAACTAAAAACATTTTCCTAGCGTGCCACGGCTGCTCTCCAGGTTCCTCCTTAGAAGTGGTGACCCCAGCGTTATTTCGAGGCTTTTGGGAGATGACGTAGGGTGGAACCTGGGCTCTAATCCTCCCACCACCAGGGCGGCGCTAGAAGCAAGCGCCAGGCGCGCCCCGAGCCTCTCTAGCCGTCTCCTCCCAGCCTGGGTCCTGGAGAGCTATCGCGGCCGCAGACGTAGCGGGCGGGGAAGCGATGTGGGCTGTACTAAGTCACCAGGTTTCTCGGGGAGGCTCAGACTCGGGACGTCGGAATCTCGCCGCCTTACCTTTGCCTCCAGCAGTCTACGCCCTCTGTAAAATGCAAAATGAAGACTCTCAGGTCTCTTCTGCTTCTCCCTTTCCAGTTTCTTCCTTTGCGGATGGCTCTCAGATCCCTCCCTTCCTCGGTGCGTTGGTACGAGCCGAAGCCAAGGGGCGCCGGCAGGAAAAGGAAGCAGGCCGGCCTTAAAGGGGCCTCAGCTACTATTTATTTAATTTATTTATTTATATTTAAAAGCTGCTCTCTCCTTCCTCCGATGCTGTTAACGTCCCCGACAGAAGAGTAAGCTTAGGGGAGCCGGGAGCAGCTAGCAGCGGAGCCGGCTGCTGGAGACGGCAGCTCCTGCCCATCGGAAGGCCAGGTGTGCGTGAGCTGCGCCCAGGGGTGCCCTTGCGCCCTGGCGCCCTGCGGGTTCTAATAGCTGGGGTTGCGCGGGGAAACTGGGCCCAGGGCTCAGGTGGAGCGGCTGATGTTCCGGGCTGAAAGGTGAGGCTGCGCTGGTGAGACTGGGACAAGTCCTTGCACCCCCAGCGCTGGGCCAGGGCGACAAGGGAAGCCGCCAAGATGCCAGAGGAAAACATCTTCCTGTTCGTGCCTAACCTTATCGGTGAGTGCTGTCTGCGGGCCCCAACACCAGCGGAGGGCGAGGGACCATGAGCTGGTTCCTGATCACTACCTGCCCCTTCCCCTTCCTATTCCAAGGTTATGCCCGGATTGTCTTCGCCATCATTTCCTTCTACTTCATGCCCTGCTGCCCCTTCACGGCCTCTTCCTTCTATCTACTCAGTGGACTTCTAGACGCCTTCGATGGACATGCAGCTCGAGCCCTTAATCAAGGTGACAGAACTCTACCATCACCACTTAGGGACCCAACATTCCCCCGCCCTTTTCCTGCTTTCCCAGAACCTCAGAAGTAGATGGCTCTTTCCCTTCTCTATAAGAAAACAAAACGGGGGTTTTTGTAGGGATTTTAAGCTTTCTCTTGAGGACTGACTGTCCACCACTTACGAAGGGTGTGACTTAACAGGGTGACCTAAACTGGACATAAGGTGTGAATAGGAGAGGTTTGTCTGGATAAATCCCCTTTGGGCTGGGCATGGTGGCTCATGTCTGTAATTCCACCATTGGAGAGGCAGACAGAAAGATTGCTCCAAGTGTGAAGTCCTCTTAGGCTGCACATTGAGTATCAGGTGTTCCAGAGCTACACAGCAAAATCCTGCAAAAATAAATGTGTTTGGGAGAGATGGCGCAAAGGATAAACTTAGAAAGCTTAATTGCTTGGCTGGGTGGTGGTGGCTGCAGGCCTTTAATTACAGCTCTCAGTAGGCAGAGGCATGCTGGTGTCTGTGAGTTCAAGGCCAGCCTGGTCTACAAAGCAAGTTCCAGTTCTGGCTGTTAACACAGAGAAACCCTGTCTCAAACAAAAGAAATGTTTATTGCTCTTGTACAGGATCTAGGTTTTGTTTCCAGTACCCACATGGTGGCTTACAACTACCTATAACTCCAGTGGGGATCCTCTGTGGGCACCAGGCACACATGTGATACAAATACATATGTGTGACCAAACAATCATATCAAAAATAAAAGAGAAATAAGCTTTAAAAAGTGTAAGTAAATAAAATAAAATTCCACTCAATAGGCATTTACTAGGGGGTTACTATGCTAGTCACAGACAGTAGGGACTCCAGAAGGGTTGGGAACGGGGTCGGGGAGAAGGTGGTGTTTAGAGCTCTGGCTAATGAGTTCTCCAGATCCACTCTAAAACTGCCCCTTGGACTTGGGATCTGCTTGCCTTTCTTTGGGGCCTTGGTCCTGGATTAGAGGAATTGAAGATAGAGCTTCTCTACTCCTGTGGCAGGTTTTCTGCCACAGCCTCGTGCCTTCTCATTTCTTGTCCTCATAATCCTCATCCTACTGGCCTCACCATCTATGACAGCAGCCTCCCTTTCCTCTTCAAGCAATACGTGGTAGACATTTTCAAACTCCTTTCGTACTCCACCCCGAGTGATAGGCCAGATGTGAGCACCCTGTTGTGAATCCACTATACCTAACAGCCCCTCCAACTTAATCTTTGCAACTTAATTATTTTTCAGGGACCCGATTTGGGGCCATGCTCGACATGCTGACGGACCGTTGTTCCACTATGTGTCTCTTGGTCAATCTAGCCCTGCTATACCCTCGAGCCACCCTTCTCTTCCAGCTCAGCATGAGCCTGGATGTGGCCAGTCACTGGCTGCATCTGCACAGGTCTGCTTTGAAGCTGGACGTGCAGATGGGTGGAAGACGTTGTGTGTGTGTGTGGGGGGGGTGTGGGTGGATGGGATGGCTTCAGGCTCCCTGGGAGAGGTCTTCCTTTTTCTTCCCCCCTTGAGACAGCAGCCCAAGGCTTCTTAGAATTTAGTATGTGCCCAGATAGGCCTCAAATTCATGACAGTCTTCCCACCTCAGCCTCCTGAGTGCTACAATTATATGCCAGCATGGCCCTACCCTTAGCTAAGGCCTACTTTTAAATTTTGCTTTGTTAAAGTCCCCAGGTGAGTGCTGGGTCTCTGAGTGGGCTTGTCATTTTTACAGGTGGCTCAAGCAATTTCTGGCATGGGCCTGGCTGGATATTTTTGGATTCCAAATTTGGGGAGAAACATTGGGGCTTTATGGTGGGGTATTTAATCCAGACCTAGGGAATTAGAAGGCTTTGAACAAGATGCAGTTTTCAGCTTCACACAAGCTCTTCCCTACATTAGAGGCAATGCCAGTTGCCAGGGTAGGTCGGTGGGATAATGGGATGAAAGAGGTGGCAGTGAACACTCATGAAGTCTCACGATTTTTTTTCCCAAGCTCTGTGGTGAGAGGCAGTGAGAGCCACAAGATGATCGACCTGTCTGGGAACCCTGTGCTTCGGATCTACTATACTTCTAGGGTGAGCACGTCTTGCCCCTCCCCTTCCTGATCTGAAAATGGGAAGTGTTAGGCTGGACCCTGGTCGGGAGAGAGTGGCTGACACAGACGTCTAAGCAGGAGTAGTCCTTGGGCTGAGGCATGGTAAAGGAGAATTGATGGGAGGTCTGTGTGGATCCTCCTGGCAGCAGTGAGAACGAGGCTCTGAGGGAGAGAGGACAGAGACAGACAGACAGAGACTAACCAAGTGTGCAGCTGGCTGAGAGGCATTCTCCTGTCTGGCAGAAGTCCCTGTGGGTTAAGGTAGGGACATGGCCCTACATCTTAGGCAGTCTTGTATTGTGTGCAGCCTGCTCTATTCACCCTGTGTGCTGGAAATGAACTCTTCTACTGCCTCCTGTACCTGTTCAATTTCTCCGAAGGACCACTAGGTAAGAAGAGGGGGTGGAGGTGGGTTTCCACCCTTCCCTGCCTTCGGGGAGAGAGGCCACAATCTCAACCCTCTCCATCCCCTGCTACTGTTCTTTCTCTCTGCCTCCCCATAGTTGGCTCTGTGGGGCTCTTCCGAATGGGCCTCTGGATCACAGCTCCCATCGCCCTGCTCAAGTCCATCATTAGTGTCATCCACCTCATCACAGCTGCGCGAAACATGGCTGCTCTGGATGCCGCAGACCGTGCCAAGAAGAAATGATCCTCGCCCTCCCCCAGCTGCCCACCTGCCCTGGGCATCTACTGTGCTACATGGCTCCTCTCCTCCTCCTAAGAGGTCCTAGTGTCATGTCCTTCTCTTGTGTTCTCTAACCTACTGGGATGGGGGGTCAACCTCTATTTGGTGTTATCACTGTCTTTTTAATCCTGAGGACCAGACCCATGCCTGTGACCCCTAGGACCTGGCACTGCAAAGCAGGAAGAGTGCTCAGGAGGCCCCACCCATCCAGCTGGTGCTCCAGGAGGCCTGTCTGAGGTTTGGGTGTTGCCACACATCCTGCTGGCTCAGCCCTGGGGTCTGGCCTGGCCTGGCCTGAGATTTTGAGGACATGTGAGGGAGGGAAATGTATGGGTCCCAGGTTTCCCAAAAGGCAGAAGAATCAGACTGATGCCATTGGGCCAAGGAAGCCTGGGTTACCAGCCCAGGAGGGAAGGGGCCAGGGGCCAGTTAGATCCTTCCCTGAGGCAAACTCCTCTGTCCTGCCCTCTTGCTTTGGAAGCCTCCATAATAAAGGGGGGACCTTCGCTCTTTTTGGACGTGTTTACTCTGAGACATTCTTCGATGAGGGCCTAGGGTTAAAAGGAACTGGGTATAAAAGATCCACCTGGATGCTTTTCCCAAAGAAGGTGGCTGGCTTCTCCCTGTCATCTCAGTGACCTTAGAGAGGCCCTGCCAGCTCTTCAGGTTCACAAGCGCTGTCTCTGCCCACCTGCTATATGTCCCTGGCTGGCCACTTTCATTGTAACCTTGGTATATTCTACCCTCATGAGAATGTAAACTTCATGAGAGCAGACTTCGTCTTTCTTGTCTATGCCTAGAGTGAAAACTAGCCTGGAATGTGGTAGCTGCTTAATAAATACTCATGGAAAGATGGATGGTCTTCAAAGAGAATGATCACCTTTAGCATATACCTCCCCATCCCCATTGTGTTTCCTGGAACTCCTGGCCCTCCTGCTTTGGCCTCTAGGTTCTGGGTTTACACGGTTACATGCCAACTTAAGGGTTTGTGTTTAGTCTTGGTTTTTG